TAAAAGGAGGAAGAGAGAGAGGAGGGGGAGGAAGAGGAGGAAGAAGAGAAAAGAAAAAAAAATTTAAAAAAGAAAAAAAAAACAAAAAAAAAGAAGAAATTATTAAATCACGTATTTTAAAAAAAAAAAAAACTTTTAAAAATTTGTTTTTACGGTTTTTGTGTTGATGTACAAAAAAAAAAAAAAAAAAAGAAAAGCAAACTGTTAAATTTAGTAAAAGAAAATTTAATTGGTTTAAAAATTTTCTAACGTTTTAACCTTTTTTTAAATAAATAAATAAATAAAAAGGAAAACATTTTTTGTTCTAATTAATAATTTAAATATATATATATATATACATACATGTTGTGTTTAAATCAGGTGTTTTTCCTTTTCGACACCTCACCTTTCGATGACGTCGTCATCATCATCATCATCATCATCGTTGTCACCACCACCATCACCATCACCATCACCACCATCACTTTCACCTTCACCACCACCACCACCTCACCGCCACAATTAATATCCGTTTTGTATTTTCCCTTTACAAGAGTTTTAATCAAGAGATTTAATATTCAAATTTTAATAAAGTAAATCATTTAGAACGATGAATATATTAAATTTAAATTGACGTGTGACAAAAGAATTAACGGAGGAGGGGGAGGAGGAGGAGGACACAAAACACGATTGTGTGTAAAACAACCATTGAAACTAGAGAGAGAGAGAGAGAGAGAGAGAAAATATTTTACCTTTGTCCAAAAAAAAAAAAAAAAAAAAAACAAAAAAAAATTTTCATTCCTTTTCATTATAATAAGCAATTAATTTAAAACATTTCATAACTAATTATTATTATTATTATTATTATTATTATTATTTCCATTTAAAATAATAATATTAATTATTAAAATTTTCTAATTAAAAATCCATTCATTCATTCAATCATTCATTCTATCATTCAATCATTCATTAAATTTAAAGAAAATATTTTTCTAAAAAAAAAAAAATAAATAAACAAATAATTATTTTCGCGCCATTTTTTTATTTATTTATTCTAAGAAATAATTCGGACGTGGAATGAGGAAAAGAAAATTTATCGTTATCGAGGAGAAAAAAAATGTTTATGTTATTTTATAAAATTTGAATAATTTTAATTTTAATGATACGATCCAAAAATATCATTTTAACCGGAAATTAGTTTCATTCACTTTACACAAGAATTTTTTTTTTAACAATATTCAGATAATATTTTAACGTTATTAAACTTTACCAAGAAAATCATTTTGTAATAAAAGAAAAGCAATTTACTCACTTAAATAAATGACTCACGGACGCCATGTTGTTTTTTTTTTTTTTTTTTCTAGCAGAAAGAAAAAGTAATGGCCGTAATAATAATAATAATAATAATAAAAGAGATATAAATTATCCTACCTCGTTTTCCAATTCATTCGTAATAATTTCCGACATTTAACTCTTGAGTAAAATAAAAAAAAAAAATTTTTTTTTTTTTTTTTTTTTTTTCCCGATGGGAAATTAACAATAATACCTGAATTTTAAATTCAAGGTTTTGTTGGCGGAAATAATCAATGGATTTGTTTAAAAACATGAATTCCTTATTAAAAAAAAAACTTTACCATTAATAAATCAACCCTTTAAATCCATTTAAAAAAATACATATATATATTAATTGACATTTAAAAATAATAATAATAATAATTTTCTTAGAAAAAGAAGAAGAAAAATTCGTGCTTGTTTTAAGTTGTAATAATTTTAAAACTACAATATTTATAATTATTATTATTTAAATTTGAACATGTTTGTTAATTAAAATGTTAATTTTTGAAATGGTTGTTACATAAAAATTTTTCACCTTTTTTTTTTTTTTTTTTTTTTTTTACAATTTAAAAAAAAAACTCGGTCAATCAAAGTTTAAATAATTTATCATCATCATCATCATTATTAGGATTTAATAAAGACAAGTTTTTGGATGGTTGTTGAAATTTTCAATAATTTATTTGAGGTCTCTAAGGGATTCCTCAAGAGTAAATGGTTTGATGTCAATGGTTAAAAGGTTTCATAACCTAAATCATTTTTACAACCAGGAATTGTTCAATCCCATATCAATCCCTGTGTTTTCTTATTCTATGGAAAGAGATGTGTTATATCATGAATTGGATTTCATAAAAATGGTTGAATGTCAGGAGAAATGAAAAATTACAAATCCTTGTTGTCTATAAAACAAAAAATTCTTTCCTTCTTTTTTTTTTTTTTGTATTGTTTTAATTTTTATTCCACAATTATTATTATTAATCTGTTGCTGCCATGTTGTTTACAAATCTCTACATAAAAATAATTTAATATGTTTGTGTTTTCCATACAAATTTAAATATATGCTTTATTAAAAACAAAATATATACAAAGGAATTAGTAGTTCCATATATGTACTCCATAATTGAAGATAGAAATTTTAAATTTAATTGATAGATTATACAAAAATAATCCTTTTATTAACATACAAATATTTGTATTTAACATCTAGTTAATTTAAAAAAAAAACGTTATTATCTATGCTCATTCAAATTTAAAAAAAAAAAAAAAATTTGTTTAAAGTTAAAATCTCACATCTTCTACAATTATATTCCCTAAGTGGAACAATTAAATTTAACGCTTGTGATCATTAAAATTTAAAAAAGGTAAAAGTAAAGTAAAAAAAAATTACGAAAATTTAAATTCTTGCGGCGAATAGAAACTTAAAAAAGTCAGGGGGAAGGAGGGGCAGGGGCAGGGGGGGTGTCGCATAAAAATAAAATGATGATTCTTTTAATTTTAATCTTTCTTAAAGAAATTTAAAAAAAAAAAAAAAAACTTTAGCACTAAACGTTAAAAGTATATACGTTTTAAAATCGTTTTAGATAAATTTAAATTTATGTGGTTAACTCTTAAAATTAAAATTATGTATTCAATTTTTTTTTTTTTTTTATTAAACGATTATTTAATATCACCGCCAGTATATCACCGCCATTTTCTGTACATGGAAAAATTTTCCCTTTTATAATTTGCTTTTAAATAATAAATCAATTAATAAATTTTTTTTTTATTATTATTTTTCCATTATTTTTTTGTTCAATTCAACAAAATTTACAACAATTTTTTGTACTCTTTCATACACAACATTATTATTATTAATATATTTTTATATTTTTTTATCATTATAGATTTAAATAGAAAAATATTACACTACTTTACAAACTTATTAAGTTATTTTATTTTATTTATGTAACGATTTTTAATTTATTTATTATTTATTAATGAACAATAAAAAATGATATATATGTTTTAAATACTAATGCTAAAATTAAACTTTGGAATTATCTTGTTTGAATTGTGATTCTTGATTTGTGGACTGAAATTCTCCTGTAAAACAAGGTATGCTAGGTATGTCATTCGTATTTGTAAAAAAAACGCCCTGAGTGGGTTTAAGCGGAGACGGAAGCCATAAATTTGTGGAAGTGGGGGAATCTGAAGAATCTATCAATGAATTTTCAGGTACAATATTTAAGTCGGTAGGTAGTTGTTTTGAATTTTGTATATCACCGCCATCCATCATTGAATATTGCAAAAGGGAACGACTTATTTTCGAATCGTCTTCCGCGGAACTATTATCCGTACTCAAATCCGACAAATCAATATCGTAATTAACGTATTTTAATTTTAAATCTTCCATACTTTTCGATTCGATTAATGGAAATTTTAAATCTTCCGATAATTTAAGAGTTTCAGCAAATAAATTACATTCGGCGGTCAGTTCTTCTCTTAGTTTGGGTTCGATTTTAACGTGTTGTACTATTTCCGGCGTTATAGGAGAAGGCAAGTCTTTTATTTTCGGATCCTCGTAATCTAAATTCGGTAACATTTTTTTCCTTCGAACTTCCAACGGCGTTCGTTTTAAAATATTCGAAGCGCTTGTCGTTACTTCTTGTAAAAAACTAAGCATGTCGTTTCGTAACATTGTAGCGTTTGATATTAAATTTTTTTGCCTCACGAACAAGTCATCGAACGTCGAAAAATGTTCGTTCATTAAATGCATGCTCTCGAGCATGAAAACTCCAGAATCCCAAGCGTTTGGCAAAATAAAATCTCCAGACATGTAATGATCGAATTCATCTTGAACCATTGAAAGAGATTCGGCAGTCAAATTTTCAATAAAACTAAGCGCACAGCACTAAAACCAAAAAAAATTTGCCTTAAGAATAGTCGGTCATTTTTCGAAATGACTCGAAACAAAATTATAAAACAATACATGGTTATAAAATTTAAAATGAAATTTACCAAATTAGTAAAATAATATCCACCTTCACCAGCCATCAACCTGCTTTCATTACAAAATTTTGTTATGTAATTAACGTTACTTTTAAATCTGGCCGGATTAGCTTTTAAAACGATAAAAATTAATGCAGGTAAAAATTCATCTGCAGAAGCAGGTCCTCCAACTGATTGTTGAAGTAAAATAAATATGCTTCGACAACATTTCACAACACAACCTAATTTATCTTGAGGAGCTTTAGCAGAATCCAAACCAAGGAGATCCATTATAGCATTGTAAACTAAATCACGAACCTGAAAGAATAAATTTTAATTTTAACACCTCATTTTTGTTTTACATTAAGAGCACTGATAAAATAAAAATCATTGATTGTGAAAATTACTTCTGCATTTGTTTCATCAATGGCACAGTCTAAATGTTTTGTTCCCACCCAACTCAATTGTCTTATCCTGTTTTGAACTGCTAAATCTTTTTCATCATCATTTGTCGCAGGAGATGAAAACAATAAATCATATAAACAAGTTGTTAAATATTTCTCAAAATAATCAAGTAAAACTTCTTTTTCATGTTGATTTGTCTCGGCATATATCAGTGTGCCTTCCATTCTTTTGGCAAATATCTATAAAAATTTTTTTTTTTTTTTATTAACAAAATGAAAATTATATTCGAATGTATTTTAAAAAATGATTATTAAAACATTATCGATATAAGTTATAAAAAAGAATTTATTAACCTTATATGAGTTCTGAATAACTTCTGATAATTCATCGATAGTTTTGTCTCCTTTAAGAGCATAATTTAAAATATTTCTTAATTGTTTTTTAACATCAGAAAATACACTTCTTTTCGATGCATCAAACATTTGAAAATATTCTTCATCGATTTTTTGAAGTTCTTCATTTTCGTGAAAACTTTCATTTGTAAAATCAGTTCTTCTAGTAGTACTAGTACTTGATGGTTTACTGATAAGACTAGAAATTTTTTTAAATGTTCCAGTAGAACGTTTATCTAAATTTTGTTTTGTTTTGTTTTTTTGAATTTTGTTGAATTGTAATAATTTATCATCGTTCCTGAAATATTATTTTTAATACAGAATGTGAATAAAAATGTTAAATTTTTAATAAATGAAGGCTCAAACTTAATAAACCTTAAAATTTATAAATAAAAATAAACTTTTATACATTTCTAAATGAAAAAAAATTTTTAATTTTTGATAAGGATAATTGGAATTTTTTCTCATGAGCCACACCAATGACATTTAGTTATACAGTTAGTAATTCATAATAAATAATAAAAAAATTTATGGTTTTAATTACAATTAATAAATTTAAAGAAAAAAAAAAAGTGTTAACGGTGTCGAAAAGTTAAAATAATATCACGATACTTTAATGTCAAAATAAAAATAAAAAATGTATTCTTACCGTTCTTTTCGTGCGAATGACGCATCTTTATCATTTTTGGGTAAATTTTTGTGACAAATCGAACAATATCCATCCCAAACTGGATTACCATAATATCCGCAATTATTTTTACAAATAAGATCTTTTTCATTAACTCTTAAACTAGGAGATTTTGTTGAAAACATTTTTTTTTATCAAAGTAACCTCATTTGAAACAGTTTATATGTTGGTCACGTGACAGTCGCCATTTTAATTACCGGGAATTTATTTTTAAAATATGAAAACTTTTTTTTTTTTTTTTGTTATAAAAACTTGTTTTATTTAATTAATTTTAATTTTTAAATAAAAATTATTAATTTAACTATTGAAATAAATAAAAAAAAAAACTATTTTCAAATTTAAATTAAAAAATTTTTTGAATTTTACAATATAATTATCGATTTTCTTAAAATGAGTTCTTTTTGATTGTTTTTAAAAATTTCACGTTCTAAAATGTCGCGATAATACAACAACAAAGAAACTACGGGACCCGATAAAAAACCTTTTTTTTTTTTTTTTTAACGATAAAAAATTTAATCTTTTATTCAAATTCTTTTAAAAAAAGAAAACTTTAAAAACACACGTTCATTGTAAAAAAAAAAAAAAAAAGAAAGAAAAGGAAAATTCGGGGATGGAAAATTCTTCATCTTCGTCACATATTTTCATTACTAATCCTAATTAATTTCAATTCATTTAATTTCATTTAATTTTTTTTTTTTAATTTTTAACTTGAAATAAATTTTTTTTTTTTTTTTACTTTTGCAAAATCAAATTATTTAGTTTATAAAAAAAAAATGTCTACAGGAAGACGTGAAAAAGGTAGCGGAAGTCATGATAAAAAATATTACAAAGTAATTTTTTTTTTTTTTTTTCATGACTTCCTTCAAGTATTTCTGGTTTAAAGTGAAAGTAATTTTTTTTTTTTTTTTTTTATATGAAAACACTTAAATTTTACATTCGAAAATTATTATTATTATTATTATTATTATTATTTAAAATAATTATTATATAGATGTTACGCAAAAATCAAATCACATTTGAAATAAAAAATTTCATACTCTCACTTTTATAAAAAAAAAAAAACATTAAAAACGACGCACAATTTTTATAAAAAAAAAAAAAACATTTACACATTTTATTAATAATAATAATAATAATAATAATAATAATAATAATAATAATAATAATAATAATAATAATAATAATAATGAGTCATACATGGGTATTTTCATAAAAAAAAATTTTTTTTTAAATGTTTGCCAATCGAACATCACCCATAAATAATTAATTAATTTTTATTTTCAATAAATAAATAAATAAATAAAAATAGGTAATAATTAATATAATATGTGACTGATGATTCCTTACATAATACAAATTAAAAAAAAAAAAAAAAATTACATAAATAATAAAAAAAAAAAATTTAACGACAGACATTGAACTGTATAGAAAAAAAAAAAAAAAACCTTCGAGCAATGGAAAAAAAAAAAAAAATTTTTTTTTTATATTAATAAACACGTTTCAGGTATGCCTCAATATATATGAAGTAATCGATTTTTTTTTTGTGTAATCAAAAGACGAACATTTAATCATTAATTACAACTTGTCAATTATTATAAAACTCATTATTATTATTATTATTATTTTAAACAGTCATTCTATCGATTAATAATAATAATAATATTATTTTAAATAAAATATTTCATCTACTCCCCCCCAAAAATAACGCGATATTGATCGTTAAATACAAATTAATAACATTTCGATTGTTTTTATTATTATTATTATTATTATTATCAATAAAATAGAATTTATTTAATAATAATGCGGTAATATAAATAAAATGCAAACGTCAGTCTCAGTATTGCATAATAAAAATTTTTTAATCAAATATATATTGAACTAAATGCACATCTCGACGTAATAAAAAAAAAAAGAAAAAATTAGTCAATTTAAATTTAATGATAATAAAATCAACGGGGGGGGGGTCACATATACAAATAAATAGATTTGTTATTATCATCATCATCACCAATATAATTATTAACCACTCCCCTAAAAAAAAAAGTAATAAGGTTTTTTTTAAAACACATTCACACATGCATATATGTATGTATGCATGCATGAAGGTATAGACAAAAGAAGATCCCTACTATTCGTATTAAATCATATAAAAATCCCTATCGATGATAGAGAAATCCATATAATAAATAGTATTTATTGAGAAACTCCCAAAGTGAAATTCAGGTCAACTAAATGCCTGATAAAAACCACAGGCACACCGGTTATTCTTGTTGTTTTATTTCACTCCGATACGCGTGTAGTAAAACTAAATATTCCTCTCGCTTTTTATCATCATCATCATTATCATCAATATTAATAATATCGCAGGTGAGAAATTAAATAATTACATAACAATCCTATATATATATATATATATATATACGTTTGAGTTTTTATTTAAATAAGTTTTTATAATATCGTGAGTATTAAAAAAAGAAACTGGTAAGAATTTTCTTTCAAATATTATTATTATTATTATTATTATTATTGTGCGTGTGTATGATAAGGTTTTTTATTTTTACATATTGTCATGGGTGATGCGAATAAAAAAATTGTAAAAAAAGAAATATAAAAAATTATATAATAAATTAAATTATTATTTCGTTTTAGATATTAACAACAACAACCACAACAAAATGAAAGTTGCCGTTTGTTTTTTTATTGTTTTTGCATCAATTTGCCTTTCGACAAGTTTCCCACAAAAAGATGGAGCCGTTTTTAGTAACGAAGCCATAAGACAAGCACAAAATACATTTTTAATTCCAAAAGATGCTCAAATTCAAAAAGTAAGTGACGAACACACTCACACATTCAAACTTTTTATTTTAATAATAATTTATTTAATAAAATAATAATAATAATAAATAAATAAACTTAATTTTTTAATAAGGTACAAGAAGGAATCGAAGTTGCAGCTTACGAAAACATAAAAGGAGATGAAAGCATCAATTTATTTCAAATATTGGGAGATCAAGTCCCACCGGAAGTTGTTAGCAATTTGCAAGCTCAAGTTGAAAAAATAGGAAAACAATAAAATTTAGTTTTTTAAATATTAATAATAATAATAATAATAATAACGGACGAACTGAAAAATATTCGATCTCCATTTTTTTTTTTTTTTACGTGTGTGTATTTTTTTAAGAAATTTAAAAAAAAAAAAAAAACAACCAAAACTTTTTATAAAATAAAATAAAATTTTTTTTTTAATACGTTTAATATTTTTTTTAAACAAAATAATAATGATAATAATAATAATATTTTCATATACAAGAAGAACGAATCGAATCGTAATAAAAAAAAATAAATTAATAAATTAATAATAATAATAAAAAAAAAAAAAAAAATTT